AGAAAGTGACTGAAGTCGAAATTCCATTACAGACCTTTCTTTAAATTACCTTAAAAATCAAATGATATATAGTAGAATCTCCAGACCAGATATAGCAGCAATATTCAAAATATAAATAAATGGTAGATTGCCTTATAGGCATAATAGATTCTGACGACTTGCTCAATTTTGTCATCTCTCATTTGCAAATATCATGTTGGGCTCTTCCATTTGTAGACAATCATACATTGTCTTCTTACATTTGATGTTTCTTCTCGATTCCGTTTTAATCCTGTATTTTAATTTCTGGTCTACCTATGCGCCGTCTGCATATAGAAAATATTGCAAAATTGCGGACCCCCCCAATAACCGTAATTCTCAGATTTCTAATTCTCTCAGAAGTGTTTCAAGTTAAGGGTTGAATAAGTATGATCGGAACACACATCCTTGTCTTACTCCACTTATTTTTTTCTGCATTTTCATGGTATACACAAGTAGATATATATTATACATATCTGTTTGCAAATGCACTCTGGAAAATGTTACTTGCATATGATATATATGTATATTTTAGTCTCATGATGGTGACACAAACAGGCACCGTGCAGTTTTAATTAGTTTTCCGCCGTATTTATACCTATGAACGACCTCTGTCCAATACTGTGCAGTTATAAGTAGTGTTGCCGCCTGCACAATCACACTGATATCAAGAAATCCCGAGGCGTCTTCGAAGTACAAAGATCCTTGCATATCGTGCTGAGTGCGCTATTTAAAAAAGAAACAATTTGAGCTGCTACTTGGTACATTTCTGTTATGGTCCGGATTCCTAGTACCCCGGGTGATAGTCCGAGGTAGAACCAATAAAGAAGAACTCGAACACAGGTATGGAATAACGCAGATATATTACAAACAGGAATATATACGGAGAAATAGAAGTGTTAGTATGAACAATCAGGTTTAGTAGAGAGAACAATGTAGTCTCAACAAGTATCACTATTCCAATGTCTTGCATCGCGACTCTGTTTCGGACTGCCTCTGACTCGACTCTTGACTCGACTTGAACTACTGACTCGATTTGAACTACTCCTGAGGCGCAGTATTTATTAAGTATGGAATAGTCCATTTTTATTATTATGGGTAAGATCCCATAACAATTTCTTTGTTGTCTGATCAGAATTCTCACTTAATTATGTCTCTTCCTTATATGCAGGACTTAGGCGATCATGGCATTCTACAATTTGCTGTCCTTTGTAAGTCTTACGAGATATTGTCTATTTTTTACTTCTCCTAAATTTTGTTCCATTATCCATAGACTCAACTTGCCCTGAATCTGTCCTGTGATTATCCTATTTTCCGAGTACTCTTTCTTCATTATGTACCACCGACATTTAAATTGTCTCTTCTTGATGTTAAGTATAAATTTACATTTTGTTTCCTTTTTCTCTAAAACCTCGTCGTTTTCACATATTCTGTTCATGGTATCCTCAGCATCCTTCTGTAGAACGACATTTCTTTTGCTTCTTCCTCGTACAATAAATTGTCTAGCATTCCCTTTCATACAAGAGGACAGTTATCACGTAACAGTTCCGTATTCTTGGATTTGTTTCTAACGAAATTTGCTTAGGTTTTGGAATGCATCTTTGGTTATCACAATGCGTCTTTGGATTTTTGTGTCACACTTTCCATCGTCTGTTAAAATAATTCCTGATGCTTAAATTTTTATGCTTCTTTCATTGCGTCATATCCGATTTGTAATTTGCATTTTGGGCTCATCCTATTACTGATGTCCATCATTCTGTCTTGTAGCATTTTTCATTTATTCCTTACTTCTCGTGTCCCTTTATTGTCTTCTGTAGAAGCTTTTGTAGTTTTTTCCGTATCTACTCTGTCTCATCTACCTTATGTTGTTAAGATTGTGACCTTCAGTAATGAATCACCATAGGACAAATTCTCTCAGAATGGCTGCGTTATATAGATTGAATAAGTCCGGTGACAAGACACGCAATTGCATTATATCACTTTTTCTATTTTTTATATCTGCTGAACTCATATTATAGGTATTATTACACTCTCCCTTAAACTAAAGCAAAAAAAAAAACATTAAAATTTGAAGGTCACTGACACCGAGTGGACATGGATATCGTTCCATCCTTACTCCTATGGCATTCCTCTGGAAGAGTCTTGTCACGAAAATTAACTTTCCGAGACACCATAGATCGGGTCTCAGGGTTCGACATTGTGGATCTGGGGACAGCAATGCAGAACTGAGCAATGTGAAAAGGGATTGTCAATGGAGTTCCCCCTAACCATAGCGAGATCAAAAGAGGATGATGATGGTAGGTATTGTATACGTGTTAGGTTATTCTAATATCAGGATGTTTGTGCGCCATGTGCTTGCCAATCCTGATGTTAGTATACCAGGTGATTTTTTGCATACCACAACTATTCCCCGTGAGATTCAATCTCTCATTCTAGATAACTGTTGGTACAAAATGCACGTACCACTTCTCTGGGCACCTGAGACAATCCTTCCTCTATAGTTTCCAATTTATTCTTAGAGATACGTTATCATGCTGCTGTGTCTACTCTTTTGGTGCCAGAACGGTTCAGCCATTGAGAATTTGTTGCACAATTCCAGTAGGTATCAGTAGATGATGGTAAATATGTGTTCTATCAATACTCAAATTGTATTATTATTATTATTATTATTATTATTATTATTTGTATATGTTATGTTTCATTCTATGTCTCCTGCAAAGCCAGTACCAAGCTATGTTCCTTAGTCTCTATAGGAGAATTGTATTTTAATTGATTGCATTTTTTTAGTATATGGGATGTTCCTAGTAGGTTGATTCTCTGGGCAAACTCCATGTTGTTCATACCTGGGACACTTTCAGGAAAACTGTCCATTTCCTTTCTCATAATGTTCAAAGTTTGGATTACTATTGGTATAGTCTCAGCCTTCATTTCCCTCATACTGTTAATGTCGGTCTCCATGTTCTTGCATTTGGACAATTTCTCGATTATTTTCATGGAGTTATTTCTCTCAGATTATACAGCTATGTCATTAAGCATAGACTTCCTGAATTTCTTGTCTTTTATAATAATATCAATCCTGTTGGCCTTCATTTCCCTGTCAGTTTGAAGTGGAATTTCCCAAGGAGACTTATGTTGTTATGTTGGGTAATGGTGTCTTGCTGGAGCTCAAACTATAGTGGTTTTGATTTTGTGCTTCTTGCATATATTTCAGTGCACATAGGAATATTCATTTTTTGTCAGTTCTGGACATCCTGAGATAATATTGTCACCAGTTTCATCATCATCATCATCATCATCATCATCATCATCATCGTCGTCGTCGTCGTCGTCATCATCATTAGAACCAGCATCATCTTTGAATCATGTCATCATTATTATTATTATTATTATCATCATTTTTATTTTCTTTGATTTCTGGCGTTTACACATTTCTTTCCGGGTCCCGCCCAGGGACCTAAGGTTAGAAATGGCGTCATGACACTTTCCACTGACAAAAAAAAAATAACTACATAGATAAAGCCCTTCGTAAGATGTGGGCTTTACTTGTCAGAACAATTTTTTGTATCTCTTTGAGGCATGGACTTCCAGGAATCCCTATAATTAGTCTACTGCAATCTTTTCCAACCAGTCCTAGGGCTCCAACTACAACAGGAATTGTTGAATTTCCCATATGCCATATTTTCGAGATTTCTATTTCAAGGTCCTTGTACTTTGACAACTTTTTGAATATCTTCAAAGATACATTGCAGTCAGCAGGGTCTGCCATATCAATAAGGAGGCACCTTTTTTGTCTTTAATAACAATATCTGGCTGGTTGGCCTTGATTGTTCTGTCAGTGTGTATTGTGTAATCTCATAGAATTGTAACAGGTCATATCTCCGTAACCGGGTCTGGGTGGTGTTCATACCAGGTAACCGGGTCTGGGTGGTGTTCATACGAGTTATTATTATTATTATTATTATTATTATTATTATTATTATTATATTCTTTTTTTTATTCGCATCTTAAACAGAAAAAAAACCTTAGATATTGCCCATTACTTTTTCTTTCAAATTTTCATAATTTTTAAGTTATCAGATGTTCAAAGAAGCGTTTATTGATTTTCTACACAGTTACCCTTCAATTACATTCCAATTTGCCTACCATCTGTATTACTATCTAAAAAGAAATATGCAGTGTTTTAAACTTATACAAGATCTACTTCTCCAAATTTTATGTTGTTTAAGTAATCCGTATCGGACATGTTTTTCTGAAGTATCTAAGCCAGTTTCGTCCTTAGAATAGATATTTTGATCTGTATACTTAAATCTAGAAGGGATGAATGTATCAGTTTTCAACGTGACACTTAAGTTTTTAAGCGGATCTGATAAGAGAGAATTGAGTTAACGCTATGGAAAACTATCATTTATTGATTACCTTGAGAGAAAAAGGAAACCGAACTATATTTTGTTTTCCTGTATTTATTTCTCCTATAAAATGAATTGTGATTTTTTCTCTCCAGCTGTGAAATTCGTCGAATAAATGAAACACATTTGAAGTGAGATCAATCAAAACTATCAGCATGAATGTTTCCACAATTTTACTATCAAAATAGAGAATCTTTATCTATCTATCTATCTATCTATCTATCTATCTATCTACGTCATTGCCTGTCAATACCAATCTATTCATACCAAGGGTAGTTTAAATAATAGCTGAATGTTTAATATCATCTATCATTTTGATTCTATCTATCTATCTATCTATCTATCTATCTATCTATCTATCTATCTATCTCAATCTATTCAGTATCTATCTATCTCAATCTATTCAGTATCTATCTATCTATCTATCTATCTATCTATCTATCTATCTATCTCTCTCTCTCTATATATATATATATATATATATATATATATATATATATATATCACTCATTGCATGTATCTACCAATCTATTCGTATCAACGGATAGTATAAATAATGGCTGAATATTTAATAACATGTATCTCATTGATTCTATCTATCTATCTATCTTCCCATCTATCTATCTATCTATCATCATAATAATAATAATTCTTTTCTTAAGTGCCATGGGTAATGCAGGCTTAGGCGACTTTCTTTGAATCATGATTGTCTTGACAGAAGAATTCCTGCAATAGCCTGCCGATTCCTTCTCTGGTAGAATGATTTCCAACCATTGCTATAGGATCCTAGTTGACTTGCTATTTGCCCCGTAGCAGGGGTGTTGGAGAAGAGATAGATTCGAAACTTTTCCAATGGTATTTGCGGGTAAGTTAATGTAGCAAGCTGGTTTTTAATTCCTTTCTCCGATTTCTCATTGCAAGTCAGTATCCATTTCACCATCCGCACATCCAAGTTTAAAGCAACTGATATTCCCAAGTTCGTTACTGACCAGTTTGATGTTGATAAAATTAATCGGACGTAAACCGGTTCCTGCACGTGAAGGACTACTGTATGTTGATTTTAGAACTGCATGTTGTAGCTAATATATGTTGATGTTACCTGGGACACTGTTAGTAAAAATGTCCATTCTTTTTCTCACGAGACCCGAAGATCTGTTGTTACAGTCTCAGCCTTCATTCTCTATATCCTGTAATTCTCGATCTTCAGATGCTTGCTGTTGGACAATTTCTCGATTATTTTCATGGAGGTGTTTCTCTCAGATTGTACTTCTATGTCAATACGTGTACACTTCCTGGCGTGTCTTTTATTATAATATCATATCTGTTGGCTTTTATTTCCGTCTCAGTTTGAATTGGAATGCCCCAGAGGATATTAAAATCGTTTTTTGGGTAACCGTATGTGGTCGGTTGTCAAACCATCTCTCGGTCGTTTCTATGTTGGATTTCTTGCCTATCTTCCGGTGCACATATGTCGCTACCTTGTTATGTCTGTGAGTATATTTATTTTTGATAGATCCCGATATCCTGAGATGATATTGTCGACAGTTTCATCATATTTTCTCCATCTCCTGCATTTGGGCTTTGATCCATTCTTGATTATGTGAAAGACAGAGGATCTGTTACCAAGACTTTGGTCCGGTGCTAAAATAATTAGGCCTTCTCTCTCAACTTTCATCTAGGTACTCCTCAGCCACTGATGTGTTCCATTTTGGGTTAAATCTGCTTTCGTTCTTTTTCGGTATAGTCCTCCAAGTTCTTTTGTAATTTCATTTGGCCAGATTATTTTTCTTTTCGTTTTACTTGTTTGGCTTAGATGGTATTCGCTTCACTTTTCGTTGCAAGGATTTCGGTTATATTAACCTGTTTCTTGGAAAGTGCAGATCCTTTGGTGATAGAATTGAATTGGCATTTTGCTGTTTGTGGTAGAGGGTCACTTGTTTTGTGAGGCATGTTTTCAATCCGATTGCTGTAGTTTTTAGAGTTAGTTCCATTTGCATTAGAGATTGATATCCTAAAGCTCTTGGTACATACAGCCTATCAACATCTGATATCGTTTGGTGCATCCTCATTTGGGTAAGCATTTCTCTGGTATTTGCTTCCAATCTTTTAATGTCATTCAATTTCCATTTAATAATGTTGAAAATGTATGTTATACGAGTATAGCTAAGGTATTGATAGCCTTCATTTTATTGGCCCCATTAATTTCGCTTTCTAGTATCAAAAACACACTACTATAATATTCTCTTTGGATATTTGTCTTCATAATTGATTGTTGCATTCCGTCTCCATCGATAATTCTTAAGTATTTGTTTGCACTGTCTTGGTCTAGGTCCTTAATCTTGTTGTTGACATCTAGGTATAAATCAGTAGTTTTTGTTACTTCACCGCCTTTGAATTTGGCTTTGGCACATTTGTCAATTCCGAAATCCATGCTAATGTCTTCGTCGAAGGATTTGACAACGTGAATAGGCTTTATCTTCTTGGCAAAAGTTTTAAGACCATCAATTTAGAATAGGTTATCCAGTGTCTTATTCTGTGACTTGTATCCTTAGCTCCTCTTGTCCAGTAGGTAGCTGAGTGGCGCTAATGTAAGGTAGAGGACTAGTGGCGACCGTGAATCTCCGTGGAAGTTACAATTATTTATGTTGATTGGTCTTGATGTTAATGACCCGTTTCTATTTAGGTTTAGTGTAGTCATCCACTTTTCAAGCTCTCTGTTACGAATTGGATCGATAAATTTATTTCCCTTCTTTTCACCGTTTTCCAATATTGTGTCATTGATAATTATTTAGTCTTTCTATCCATAACCTCATCTTTTACAACCCTTCGCTTTGGCTAGAAGTAAATTGTTTTTATCAATGAAGTTGTAGGTCCTCTGGGATATGATAGTAGTGAGTAACATGTACATTGCGATGAGCCTATAGTTTTTCGGGTTCTGCGTCTCTTCTGTTATTGGGAGTAGATATGGCATTCCCCACTTGAACCATTTGAGGCATTTTTCGTTCATCTTGATTGGTGGTAATTTGGGGCCATATCGACGATAATGGAACGCAACTAGCTCGGTCTTCGAGACATTGAATGTAAACAGCTAGTTTTTCCCCAGTTGGGTAGTTTGTACAAGATCGGATGTTTTTCCATTCTGTAACTTGTGTCTGTAGCTACTGTTGTTCTGTAGGCAGCTGAGTGGCGCTAATGCAAGGCAGAAGAATAGTGGTTACAATGAATCTCCTTGGAAGATCCCGCTATTGATGTTGATTGGCATCGATGTTAATGACAAACTTGTATGGTTTATTGTCCACTTTTCACGCTTTCCCCTATGAATCTGGCCGTTGTGAGGTCATACTCTGTATATTTTTATGCACTTCTCCATCCATGTGTGCCGTACACTGTTGAACGCCTTTCTGCCATTGATACATACTATTGAAGTTTTCACCTCTTCCAATATTATTTTAAATGTAATTAGTTGTTCCTTGCACCCTAAATTCCTTTTTTACATCCGTTCTGTTCTGGTGGGAGTACATTGTTTTTTTTTTTTTTTTTCACAAGGAAGTTGTATGTTTTCCTGTTTATGATAGGAGTGAGGGCGTATACTTCTTCGAGTTCTGCAACTCTTCTGTTTGGGGGAGGAAGTAGGTTACTCACCACGTGAAACATTTGGGGCATTTTTATGGGTATATGATTATATCATTGTATGTCCGTGCGAGGTCTTGGTGGTGCTATTTTTTTTCGAAAACCTGACCATTCGGATTATTTACGTGGCTTTCCAATTTTTTGTTTGCAGGTGATATTGGTTGTTACAGTAATATTGATATCCGTTCCCATTATTGGGACTGTATATGTGTATGTAGTCCCTGTTGTTGATGACCTATGCATCTCTTTCAATTCCATTTTTGCACCAGAACTCCTCGACTTCCTGAATATTAAGTAAGTCATTTATCTCTATTTTATTTTTCCCAGTTCTCGATATAGTTTCTTGGCATCTTCCTTGAAGATTTTGTTTTGCTAGAAGAGTCTGTGTCTTCGATTGAATTTGTTGTATCAGATTCTCTTTAACTTTTGCTACGTCAGTATGATGTTTTATATCAAGGCTTCGTTTTATTTGGTTCCTTTTTCTATCTTTCATTTTGAAGACCTTGTCTACTTCACTTAGAAGGGACAATTGTCCTCGTAATTTAACTTCGGTTTCCATTTTTTCCAGACTCTCAGTTTATTTTCGTTTACTTTGGGTTTTTATTTTTGGCCGAAGATTTCTGCGATTGTAGCCGAGGCTCTCTATATAGGATTATTAATTTCTGTCAGGTTCATTGGACTATCCATTTCGTCCCTTATTTTACTAATTGATTCATTAGCGTGGATGATGGTTTCCTTCACTTGACGGTTCTTTCTTACTTTTGGAATAGTTGGCTTTTCCTCGAAAGGCATTTCCTTTATAGTCTCCCATTTATAATGGATGTTTTTATCATCTCTGTTTCTCTTTCATATTCATCATTATCTTCCTCTTTTTGCTTTTCTAATACAGTGGTATTATTACAATTAATTTCTATTGGTCTCTCGATGTTAAATGTATGTTTACTCTGATACTTTCTAGTTCAATGTCAGATATACATTTTTCCAGATGATGTCACGCCTGACATTGGCTAATTTCTTGGTATTGATGTTTAATCTAAGAGATTCTTTTCTCGTAGATATTATAGGCGGTTAAGATTGTTGCCGTTGTCGGATTTATTGTAGTAGACTAAAATGATATCATTACTTGAATATAGTTTTCGGTAGATCATTTATTTAATGTTCTTTTGTGAGATATTCTTTTAATGAATATAGAGGGGATTTATGAGTACTGTCGTCGGCGTGATTATCCTCTGGTTCTCGTTAGGTAGTGTTTGTTCTAGTTTCAGACTTTTTCATCCTAGTCTGGTTGTCCACTGAGGAACGTGGCCATTGTTGACCTGCGTGACGGGCGAGGCGGTTTACCAATATTTTTCGTTGTGCCAGCATTATGATTAGTTCGTATTTACACCTACCTGGGGGCTGGTTCGTGGGCGCCAGAGCATATCCATAACAAGGTAGACCGTCACGTTTAGGGGGGCATGCCTTCTACTGCTATTTTTATTAACTATTGTTGTCATTAACATCAACTTCATTTATAAGCATTTTGATTCCAAGAAGTCACAAGACGCCGACATAACATCAATTTGCAAAGGAATTTTCTTTGAATTTTTCTCTTTTTCTCTCTTAAGTTCAATAATATGAAACTATATTTTAATCTCCCTAATCCTGTTATTACATGATTATATTTAACCCATAAGTACAATTAGTATATAGATACTAATAATATTAGTAAGTAATAAAAAAATTAACCGATACGTCACTATCACCACAATGACAATTACCACCATGATCTCCACTACAACCATTATTAGTATTACTATTATTGCATACATCTTTGTGTCTCTTTCTATTTATTATTGCCTGGATCCTGTTAAAAAATAAAGATTTGCGTAAAAATTGACAAAACTAGTAGGAAATTTGGTAACATATCTCTAAAATTAAAATATTATAATATACAATTTAATATACGACTTTATGCTAATCAATGTATACACATACATACACACGCATATATACATATACAAGTTCCAATACATATACATACACATATAT